AACAGTCCTTTTTCTAAATTCATATAAAAAGTATCTATGACTTTAGATGGCAATTTGTTCTACAGATTTACAACAATGTAACTTTGTAACATGTAAACACTAAATACATTACTCTCCTGATGTTCAAGGTACTTATCTACTGTTTGGTGGGATAATTGCTTTGTGTCCTTTTTGACCTTATGATTGGTAGATACCTTGTGACTGTCATGTGAAGAGCTGTTTGATGCCATTTTCTATTGGTCAGCTACAAGAATTATGTGTATTGTGAATGCAGTCTTGGTGCTTCTAGAGGAGATCAAGTCCTGATATATTTTTTATTTTGTTTCAGCAAGTAGTGTTTCCTTATTATTTTATTCTGACTCCAACTCAGTGTCTTGTCTCCTTCATTCCACCAGTCACAAATAACTGCACATTACTTTGACAAACTTCTCATTTTTGCAGAGACCAGTGAACTGTGCTCAGGTATAAGCTTGAATTACCTCAATTTGCTGACAGCTTTTGAATGAAATTTTCCTGTACAATCACAAATTGTATAGAAGTAAGACATTGTTTATGAACACTTTTTTTTTAATTTTAAGAAAGAAACGAGTTATTCTGTTAGTTCAAGCTCATCTTATTTGTATAGGTGTTAATTAACAGCTGAGTAAGAGAGAAAAATAAATTATCATTGTTATTATCATCAGACACTTAAGTCAGATTTCATGGATGTTCTAAAAGCAACTAGAACATTTGTAGGTATCTGATTTTTAGTGCAAAGTATGTTGCCAGTGTAAAAAATCAGAAATGATTATAAAGTATATCAAGTTCCAAGCCATCAGATGTTTAGAACAGAAATAATTTAAAGATTAATAAAAAGATCATTGTTGGTATATTCTAAGAGTTCTCACATGGTAGAGAAGGGCTGGAATATGAGGATAAATGCTTTCTATTTAGTAACCATTTAATTAGAATGACATCAATAAATGTGTGAAATAGAATTAAAACTGCAGCTGAAACTAATTTTCAAAATTTAGTCAAGAGTATAATATTTTTCATAAGTTAAACAGTTGTAACATATATTAACTCTAACCTCAGAAGCTAAGAATAACTACGTGGAAAACTGTATACTTCACTTGTGATCATTTTGTATAATAATGTATGTTTCTTATTTGAGTAAGTTTTGTTTATGGTGAACTTGTTCGGTATTGAATGTTGTACATTAGCAGGTAACTAATCAATGACAAAGAAATCAAAGAGACTGAAAACAAACTCACCTCTAGAGATGATCGAGACTGTGCTTACAAATGAGCCTATGCTTTTGGCCAAGACCAACGAAAGTGTTAAAGTGGACACTGATGTATTAAGGGTATGAGACAATGGTGACCCTACCAACTTCTCTGAAATCATTACTCAAAAAACACTAGATCACTTTATTTCTCAAGGATCAAAGAATGCAGAATTCAGAAGTAACAACAGAAGTGTCTTGGATGTGCACTACAGGAAGCCTATTTAAAATGAAGAAGTATGCTGTCAATGGTTGTTATCTTCACAAAGGAAACATTCTGTATTTTGTTTTTGCTGCATATTTTTCAGCAGTATCTCATCTTCATACAACAATGGAAACAGCAATTTGAAAAAGAGTTCATTTGACTTGGAATGACGTGAAACTTCAAGTAGGACACATTCTTTCTTATCACAAATGGGTGGAGAGAAATATCTTTTAAGTTGCCTCTCTTAAAAGAGACATAGATGGAAGTGATCTAGCTGAACTATTTAACATAAGTAAGGGAAATGATAATACTGATGCATCAGGATTATTTTTCATCTGGCTGTAGGACAAGAGGCCATAAGTTTAAAATTTAGAAAGGTCAAACACATCTTCAATTGAGGAAGTTTTAATTTTCCAAAATCTCACCTTGTCTCGTGAACTTGTTTTTAAAAATGAGCTTATCCATTGACAATTGGAGTTTAATATAAGCTAAGTTAACATTGTATTCACAAGCCCTAATGATACTAACTAGTTGTCTGGAATAACTAATAGTTTATACTTTATTGTACCAAAAAATGTTTTTGTTTGCTACTCTTAATAACTAACATCACATTAGCTTGAAATATGGATATAAAGGATAATAAAACCTTCAGAGCATACTTACTTCAGACTAACAGCTGAAAAAGATTTTCAAACAAGGGCTTTGCAATTTAATAATAAACAAAATCTGGAATTTTTTTCTTTATAGAAGGATATTAAATGTCATGAATTATCGATACACAATAATACAGTGATTGACCCAGATTATGTTAAAATATACCAGTAACTTGTAGAATGTAGTGAAGTTTCTGAGATAATAAAAACAAAAGAGGGTGACCACCAATTTTATACATTTAGAAATAAATGTTACATTTATACAGTCTTTTTCTCTTACAGTTTTTAAAATTCCAGGTTTATGGCCATCCTTATCAAATGAAGTAAACTAACCATGATTCGTTTTTTTTTCTCATTTCATAGTACATATACTTATCAGATATGTTTGTTTGCTTTGTTTTTTTTTATCAATTTGCACAAAGCTACTCAAGGACTACCTGCACTAGCCATCCCTAATTTAGCAGTGATAAGACTCTAGGGAAGGAAAACAACTAGTTGACACCACCCACTGCCAACTCTTGGGCTACTCTTTTACCAATGAAAAATGGGATTGACTGTCACATTGTAATGCCCTCATGGCTGAAAGGGATTGAAATCCATGACCTGTAGATTGTGAGAAGAGAGCCCTAACCACCAGACTATTTATCATGTATGCGATAGCTGATGCTGAAATCATTTAACACATAAATCAAGTGTACAAAAACACTCATGTAAGTAACTGTTCAGTATAATTTTAAATTAAAGTCTCTCATTTTGAAACAATAGACTAGAGGGAAAGCAGTTAGTTAACAGCACCAACCAACTCTGTGGCTATTCTAATTGAAAACTGGGACTTGACAATTACTCTTTTAACGTACTCATGTTTCTTCTTTTTTTTCCACAGTAATTGGATTCAACTATGGGCCCTTGGATTCAAACACAGATACACTAATCAGTAAACCTTGCTTGGCCTAATTTTGTTTGTTATTAAACCCAAAGCTATATAGTGGGCTATGTTTGCACCCACCATAGGGATCAAACCCCCAAACTTTAGTGTTATAAGCCCTGAAGTTTACCAATGAGCCACTGGGGGTTTTTGGTCTAATATACAGTGTGAAAATCAGTCCTAAGTGTGTCAGTTGCAGTATGTTAAATCAGATGATCTAGGTTTCATTTACTAATACTGTTTTTTATTACCAATGGTTACATTTAAGCTGAGCACAAAGAGACTTATATAATGTCAAAATAAAACCATGAAGAGACTGATGTAATTTCAAAGTTTTATATAGTTTTCTGAATAACTTGAATATATTTTATATGAAACAAAAAACAACAGAAAAATAGCTTTGATGGAATTTTACAAAATTATTCATAGCAAGTTTATCATTTTCAGTAAAAGAACTACATCAGTTATATACCACCTTCTAGAACATGTGAATGATTCCATTGCATTACTATAAAGGAAGCTATTAGTTAGCTAGGCCGTGTATTTTGTGTTACTCACCTTCATGCTCTAAGTTGAATAGAAAACATGGCCTGGCTAACTAATGAATGCATATTTGCTGTAAAGTTCTTATCAATGCTATAAGTGTAGCTAACAGTTTGGCCACCAATTTTGAGTTCACTCCTTTAAGTCACACACTGAATCATTTATTGGCCACACCTTTTTTTTAACACATGTATTTTTGATTACATAACTGTTTTTCTGTAATATTTCCTCATTTACTATTTACCAACCCCTTTAAATTAAAAGTTTCTTGTCATCATCTCCATGCAATGGTACAGCCATATCAAGCATCATTATTTATGCTAATTGCTTAAGCTAATAGCATGTGATGCTAAACGCTCTTTAATTAGGATAATTTCATAAAACTTGTTAATTTATGCTGAAAAGTTGGCAATGAATAATCAATAATAACTGTCCACATGCATGATTCTTTTGAAAACTTGAACCTAACCAATACTTATGTATTTGCACATCCTTTTACCTTATAGTTTTGCTGCTCTAACTAAGCCGTCTTTAATCCGAATGACAAGAAACTAAAAACGGTCCACTTTTACTCTTAGATTAAACTGTAGTAAAAATATTAGAATAAAAGCTCATGTGACTTTTTGCATAGGTATGTGCAAAAATTTTAGTTAAATTTGAGTGTTTTTTGTTGAATAACTTTGCATATGTGGTTTATATTTACACCAAATGAGACTCCTAATTATAGGTTGAACAAGATCCAACAGTGTACCAACTTTGAAAAAAAATACATAAAAGTTAAGTATGTTTTTCAAACAAATAAAGTTACTGTACTTTTGGTGCGAAGAAGAAAAAAAAGGAAGAAACTCAAACAAAATTGGAGATTTTATATCTCAGGTATTTCTTAATGGATGTTTTCTTGAAATTTGGTATGTGAAGTAAGAGTCCAGTAGAGCACATTCACTGAAAATGTGTGATAGTTTGGATTACTACAGTCTGAGATACAGAAAGTGGAAAATCACTAAACTATCACCCCTGTTCATAACACACAGTGTGTCCTGCAGCATATTGTTTTTCCCACACGACACACTACTGCATGTCTTGATTCCAATAATACATGTTATTGTGCCTCATCACTATTTATATATGTAGTTCTGTTTTTGATTACAGTAAAGAGTTTATATTTCAATGTGCCAACAAACTGTTTCTGTTTTTCATTCCTAATATATATATTGTAACTCAATGTGCCTGAAAATAAATTATGATGTTAATTAGAGAAAATTATGAAGAAGAATTAAAATATTAGTATGTTGTACATGCGCGTGTCAGTGAAAAAAGAATGTGGCCATTTTGCGTGTTTTAAACCAATATTTACACTATAAAGAGGTTAGATTATATATTTTGGAATTAAGATGAAATTGATTTTTCTAGTGGCAGCCCTCATAGTTCGGAAAAGAGCTACGCTCACTTCACAGCTAAGTGCATTCAAGGTTTAAGCCCTGTAACATCTCAGTACAGTCTGTGAAGGTCCAACATCTAGTCCAGATCTACAGACTAAAGCAGGAAGATGTATCTTAGGCCCAACTGCACACACTGGACTAAAATTTGTTTTATTTTATGCTTGAATGTCTGTACAAACAATGAGAACTTTGTACCTTTCTGAGACACACTAACTTCTTCTAGAAGAAATTATTTGCACTGCACTTAAGGAAAATTAGTTTAAACCAACTTTTTTTAATTATTGAAGATAGAGTTTCCATGTCTAATAACAGTATATATTGTTTTTCTATATTATGATTACATTGTTTAGGAATATCTCACTTATATACTTTATTATTGCTTTATGTACTGTAGAAGGCAGTGTTTCCACAAGTATTTGATGACTTGAATGAAATTTATATTGTGGCAATAAATTATTTCTAATGTGGTGTTGCAACAAATTAACATTCCCTGGATTTATATGTGTGTGTTAGGTGTATCTTGACTTGACTAGAAAAGTTTGTATTAAGTAAAAGATTAAATGGAAAGTGTTTGTTAAAGGTACAGTTACAAGACACTTGGTGTCAAAAGTGGTTCATGATTAAGCAGCAATAACCCAAGTATATTTTCATCATTGTTGTGCTTTGGTTTCCAAATTGCATTATTTATAGGTAGTGACTGAGATCTGAAGTTTAATTCAGATTAAAGGGGAAGTGTTTTGTGTTGCAAAAGTTAAATATCTTCTATACCATACCAGGTTACGTAGAAAACAAAACAGGTATTAGAACTTGCCAAATGTATGATAATTACTGAAGAAGTCTGGAACTTGTATTACTTAAAATGTTTCTTCTCTTTTGAAACTTACTCACAAACACTTCAAGGAATATTTATTGTAGAAACATCGATGTGTGTGTAATACATAGGCAATAAGTTTTTTGTGTATTCAAATTTAGGTATTGGAATATCTTCTTTTTACTATAGCTTATGAGATGGAAATACATTGGTTTTTATGTCTTTCTGTTTGTGTTACCAAAATATCTAAAAATCCTGTCACTATTAAGGTTTCTAAGCATTGAGTATGTAGATGTTTTTTTCTCTCAACACCAGAATTGTGAATTTGGGAGGGGGGAGGAGATGCTTAAGGCCCAAATCTTAGTTTCACCACCTGACACTGAGTCGGACCAGTTTCCAGGAATTTGACCTCTTATCAAAAACCCTGGAAAATGTCATATTTTTATCAGAGATAAAAAAACTTATACAATTTGTACAGCATAGAATTCAGGAGAGTAAATTGATATCACTAATGTTATGTTCTTCCAGTGCTTGTGTAAAGTTAGATTATTTGTAGTGATTAAAGAATGACCCAAACACAATCTAAATGTACATATTTTGCCATGTGCCATTGCTTTTAACTTTTTGCAGTTGGATGATGATGTTAAATTTACTTGTAAAAATATATTTGTCTTTCTGTATAAAAATGTATCTAAAAGAGATTTTTTGTTTACAAAACTTGTGTTGTACATAGGATACCATGGACTTTCATTACTCAAATCATGAACTTTAGGGAATTAAATTCCAAGGTTAGGATATCTGCTTGAAGTATTCCCTAGGTAGATTCTGTAGTCACATAGTCTTTTTCTTTTGAAATTTTTACATATTTTTAACCTGGTGGCAAAGAATTTAGTTATTATGTTTCAGAGAACATGACAAATGTGCACATTTTCTGTAATGTCACATATCTAGTAATTTAAAATTGTTTATAAACATAGTTCTATCTTTAAACATGTATAAATTTATATATGAATAATAAGTAACATCTTTTAACTGAACGTTCATGAGATCGGTCCAATAGACTGATCCCTTAGTTGAGAAGTAATGTTGCCAGTAATTCCAAATTTACCAATTGTATCTTCACAAAATGTAGCAAGCTGTTAGTAAACAGTAAAAGTCTATTGTAAACAAACATTCAGATATGTAATGAATTATTTTCACTAATGATTTGTCTGTGAATTGATTAAGTCAGTCTGACTCATCAGACTCTAAAGAGTCAGTTGTGCAAGGTAAGGCTCATGTAAAGAGTAAAAATACTTTTTTTCCATCATACAGTTTACATGTTATATCTGGATAAATATTACAACATCCTAAATGCATATTTTTTTTAGTATCCCTGATAATGTATATTGTGATTTCTGTACTCTAACACAAACTGTTGTGATATCAGCGATGTAGGGTAAAATGAAAAGATGATAACTCTCAGACCAAATTAATAATACCATGTTGAATCGCACTCTGTACAAGGTTGTGCCATGTGCACTTTTACCCCCACCCATGCACATAAGGTTAATGACATTTTGAAGTCATATACTCAACTAATTCTGATTTACTTTATTTTTTATTTAGAATTTGGATCGGAGAAGTAACTTTAGTAAGAATGTTCCAATTTTCAGTAAAAAGTTGTATGTTTTGATCATTCCAAAAATTCAACAAATAAACTTGATAAACAGATAAACTACAACTAGCAATATTTTATATCAAAATAACTAAATTTATGTTTTCCCATTCACATTTTTAAAAGATTGTTAAATTTTGAAAACAAACACATTTTTAGTCAGTGTATCATGTATACTAATTAACTGCCAAACTCAAACCCCTATTTAATTAGAAAATGCTGGAGAAACAATTTTTTGTGACATATTTTGTTTATTTTGTATTCTAACAGAAATGTTCATAGATACAAATTAAACTTTCCTACATTGCAACTTAAAATGCAAGGTTTTCTTCTGTTTTTAAATATATTTAGTGCTGTGAAACTACTAGATTTTGTAGAGAAATTTTCTATGTGCACAAAAATATATATGATTCTGAAGTTTTTTAATCATTATGGTGTATATCACAACTGAGAATCAAAACATTCCAAGATATGTTTTTAGATTTTCTACATGTGCCAATATTAGGTGTATACATATTCATGTACTTGGTTTTGTTGTATATGCAACTTAAACATAGAGGATGTAAATTTTCAACATTAACATGTTTATAACGGTAAACTAGATTTTTTGTTCGTACTTATTATGAAGGTAGTAAGTAATGAATGATGTACTAATTATAAATCATGTACAAGCTTATTCTTTGCTTTCTAATTAGTTATTACTTTCTAAATAATATCTTCAAAGCTTTGTATGATTGTTCACATAAATGTGTTGATATTCTAGACAAAAGATAAAGTTCACAATAGATTTACAAGTGCATTGATATTACCGTAAAGCAAATAAAAAAGTTATTTTTCATGACAAATATTCATTTTTAAAATATCACAATTTTAGAACTTATTCCAGAGTGAATGTTTATATATATTTTTAAACTAGACAAAAAATAAGCTCAGAATCGACTTGTGTGTTTATATATTAGTACATAAATAAGAAAATGTTATTTTTGATGACATGTTCATTTATAAACTATCACAATTTTACAACTCATTTTAGAGTGGATATTTATAAATATTTTTAAATTAGGCAAAAATAAAGCTCATGATATACTTGTGCATTGTAAGGAAATATAACGGTTATCTTTGATGACAAATATTACTTTAAAACATTATTACAATTTTAAAGCTCATTCTAGAGTGTGGAGTTGTTTATGTACAGAATGTTAAAAAATGACCCATTGTAGAGTTCAGTGTTTTTAACAAGCTATAAAAACTATTAATATAATTTTTCACTACTTGTTGTTGTTATTTTAAAAAAATGATCACTCAACTCTTGAGCTAATAGCACTGAATAAGTGTGTAATTTCATATGGGGGTTTGGCAACTTTTTTAACAAAAGCTCATAGTAATAGTTATGTAGGAACTTTGTCTCTTCCTTTATAAAACATTATTATTAACTATAAACCCATTGTAACAGCATATTAAGTCTCTGTATTTAAATATGAGTGTTATACTTATAAAAAGGAATAAACTTATTATCACGCTTCCCATTTGTGTGCTATACTGATGATGAAATATTTATGAGAAATGTTTTTCAACACAACAATAGATAATGTTTTCAGTACACTGAGGTTCTGAAATTATAGTTTTGAAAAGAGTTTTACTATTGCTGTTATAACTACTAAGTATTGGCTATTTTATTAACATCATGATTGAAGGTCATATATTTCAGGTTTGCATTAAAGTTAGTAATAACTTTAATAGGTGCCAAATTTAAAGCATGACAAAAACAAGAATTGTGTCTTAAGAGAGTCATAAATGAGCAAAATCCAAACTCTGATGTATCTCGTTTATCTGCTATTATGTATCTTTTGGGCATATTAACAACCCATATTTCGGGCTTGAAGTTTGTTTTGAATTTGATTTTTTTTTGCATCTAGATGATAATTTCTATAATAAGATTCAGTGTACGCGTGTCACATAACTCCTCCTAAACTGCTAGTTGCACTGACTTCTAAGTGGTACCAAACAAATTGTCTCAGTCCCAAGGTTTGCACAAAAGTAAAATTTTTATCCCTAACCCTAAGGGAACCAGGAGATTTCCCGAAAACCCCTTCTCCTAAACTACTGAATTCACCAACTTCTAAATGGTGCCAAATGAATTGTTTCAGCCCCAAAGTTTGCAAAAAGTAAAAGTTTTCACCAAACTTCTTAGGGAACCTGGGTATTTCACAAAAACAATTTTACAAGTATTCCCGAAAGCAGACCCCAAACTTGGTATTGATTTCCATTAGAGCCCGTAAATAAGTAGGCCTACTAATTCGTTTGTAACTTTGTTAAAAAAATTAAATTTGCATTATAGCAGCAATGATCATTTACATGAAAATGTGCAAAATAGTAGTTCCAGCATTAAATTTGCATTACAGTGGCCCAGTAAATGTGGGCCATAGGCCCACGGGTTTGCTAGTACAGTTATATTTTGGTTTTAAAAGCAGATTATAACATTTCTGTGTTTCACAATGTTTACTGAAATGGCCTTTACATCAGATTTGTAAGTTGTGTTATGCGACACAAAGATAAACTTCTGAATAAAAAAATTACTGTAAATGTAATAGAGATTTTTTTGTATTGTACCTGCATATGGTATTCTGATAACAGTGGTTTTAATTAATGAAACAAGTTTCAAATTTAATTTCTTTCCCCATTATTTCATGCAATTTCAACAAAGAATTAATGTTAAGTTTCAAGAACGCTACCAAATCTTTGAAACCAATGAGCAACATCAGTGCACGTTAGGTTAACGATAAGTTTGTTAATTACACTGTTCAGATAGCTAACTAACAACATGTACACAAAGCAGTGCATTGATCTTGATTTAAATTGGTAGGTAAAATGCAGACAGTCTGCAACACATGTATTTTCAACTCAAAAAATGTAAAGCTGTGACATAATAATAACAAAATATAAAACTTGAAACAGTTTTTTGCCACATTAAAGGCCTCAAAAATATTTTTTTTTATAAATTGTAAATTTTCACAATAAATTAGTGGATAGTTATGGACTTCGTAACTTACCTCAGCCAAAGTAAATTCAGTATCAGACAGATTAAGTGTGAAAGGTAAACATAATGTGCTTACCTGCTTTTGTTGTATAGAAATTTAAAAAATTTTTTGTTTCTTTTGTTTATATACAGTGTTAGCATAAACCTGTGGTCCAGAAACATGTTGAGATTATTTTGTTTTACTAACTTTCATTGTTCTTTATTGTAAATAATGTGTGTTCTCCCCAAGAAGATATTGCAGTAACATACAAGACGTGTTAAAAGGATTAGTGATTCTAATATCATTTGTTGGCCAATATTAAAGCTGATCAATGATTTGAGAGAACAAAAGTCATGAGATGATGTTGTCTGATGGATCAAGAAACTGAGTTGCCCCTTGAATTCAGACATGCTTTTTTAGTTTAGATTCTTTCTAAAGTAACAGTAAAAACAAGAGAAAAAGCTGTGTAACTAATTACAATCCAATAGAAACAACCTTTGTGTGTGCAAGTTGGTATGCTTCATTTTATTTTTTTTGTCTGCCCTATAATAAAGATTGTGTTCATTTTACCAAATGTGTCCAGTCTAATTATTTCACACAGAATAGGAACACTCAGTCAAATTATTAGGTTGAGATTACTCTCCTTATATCCTGAGCAAATTTGCTGTTATTAGCAGGTTTAACTGTGTGATACTTATCAAGAAACCAGTATATACCTGAAAATACCACAAGTAGACAGGAAGGAAAAATTTTGGTGCTGTGACATCAGGATTTATTGCAGAGTTTCTGTATTAATAATATTCTTACTAGCTCTTGCTTGGTCTCTTGGGTTAGAAAGATTTAAAGGAATACCTCTTATGATTAGAATGACATTTTCCAGACTTATAAGTACTCATGACTCAGAGAGAGAGTTTACTAGCAGAGAGTAACAGTTGAGTCTAGGAGAAATCCTAGGTTGGACATAAGGCTTTTGCCTAAGTTGTAAAGGTCTATGAAATTTCTCAACCTGCAACCACTGTCTTTGGGAGATTTGATAACACCTGGAGCATCCACACCACTCAAACAAATGGCACCTCTGAGGATTGATCTCAGTGGAAAGAAAGTGTGAATGACTGAGTGGAATGGCTTCTGGCAATTCAAGAATGTGGATGGAAGTCTGTAGTCAATTGCTAGGCTGTTGCCAAAGAGAGCAAAGTAGCTTTAGCTCCAGTCCAGATCACGTGCCATGGTGGATAATTTCTGCCAGTCAGGGTAATCTCCCTGGCAAGTGAGACAACAGGCATCCATGGTAGAAGACCATGACCCATGGGATGAGGTACCATTCAGAACTGAAAGGTACCATGCAACAGTGATGGCAGTTCACTATACATAGGGTCTTACAAAGCCGTATGATGAGTCATCTCAAGTTGTTTATTGCCCTGGACTAGGGATTGATTGCCCATTAGAGTGTTGAAGTCCGTGTCATTGACTTGCATTCAGAACTGAGGACAGTAGTGGCATCTTCTCCTGGTATCCATTAGGATAAAGATGGGCTTGGCACTCTGGTTGTTATGAGCATAGCAGGGCACACCCCCAATGTTCAAGGTGGTAGCAATAAAAACATAGAAAAGTTCCTAAAATGTTATAGGTAGGTTACTGCCTGAGGTAGATGGACTCGGGAACAGGAAGTGCAACACCTAGTCCTCAGTTTAGGGGTCTAGCCCTAGACACTGTTGAAACATTTTGAAGAGGAGCAACAAGACGACTGGGTAACAGCCACGTATAAGCTGCGTTGTGAATTTGACCCATTGGGGATTTATCAGATTGAGTTCAAGGTTCATAAGATTGGCACTGAGGAACTAGCTGCCAACTCAGGAAGATATCCTGGTTGATAAGTTCCTTGAGAAACTTACAAGTGAACTTCTGTAATAGCAACTGGAGGTAAGAAACATTCTCACTCTCATGACATGCTTTGAAGTGGGCACTTCAAACCAATCATTGGAGAGAAAGAAGCCTACAGCTGTAATGACAATCTCATTGGCTGATTGTGTGACCCAGATACCTCCACAGAACAGAAATGTAGTGCAATAACACTGGTTTCCAGTGAGCAAACAGGACTATGCTGGTGTACCCAAGAGAAATAAATGCATTGTTGCAAGGTCTGCCCATGGGATACATACTGCAGCCACAGTTGTTGCCTCCACTTATATATTGTCCAAGGTGGGAAGAGAAAAACACCTGCTTCATTTGTGGATTGATGGAGCATTGACAAAGGAAGTACCCATACTTTGCTGAGCAGCAAAGTAGGCGAGAGTATTGATACTGGCTGTCAGACCATCAACTCACGAATAACTTGAAAAAGTAGTGAATGCTGTGGCAAATGCTCTGAAAACTGCTGGAGCCCAAGTCAGACTTGGCCACCAGCTTGAGGGATCACAGTGGACAGCTTACACTGAAGTGTTTATGTTCAGCCTAGTGGAGCTTAATATGTGCCAACAAGGGTGACATTCTCTGGGAGACAACTAGACTGAGCTGGATATTCCCTTCTATAATATCTAGTCTATTGCCATTCACAAAAATAAAGTCGGTATTTACTGACCATAGTGGTGGTCTCACGTGGAAGGCTTGAAAGATCACAA